TTGAGGCTGTTTTCGTTAGAGAGAAGAAGGTTAAGAGGTGACTTGATAGAGACATACAAGATGATCAGAGGATTAGATAGGGTGGACAGTGGGAGCCTTTTTCCTCGGATGGTGATGGCTAGCACAAGGGGACTAAGCTTTAAATTGAGGGGTGATAGATATAGGACAGATGTCAGAGGTAGGTTCTTTACTCAGAGAGTAGTAAGGGCGTGGAATGCCCTGCCTGCAAAAATAGTAGACTCGCCCACTTTAAGGGCATTTAAATGGTCATTGGATAAACATATGGATGATAATGGAATAGTTTAGGTTAGATGGGCTTCAGATAGGTTTCACAGGTCGGCGCAACATCGAGGGCCGAAGGGCCTGTACTGCGCTGTAATGTTCTATGTTCTATGTTCTATCATGACAGACCTGCCTGCTCTCCCATGTAGGTGCTGTATTGATTTACAAGCTCAGGGCTTCTGCACATTTATAACTTCCTTGAAAATCTGATTCTCTTATAGCAATTATGCTGTCATGTAAGATCTCTTATGCTTACGATGATTCTGTTATTAATTAGTCCATCTTTTGTTGCACAAATTCACAGGTTTCAGCCAACTGAGTTATAATGTTATGTATTGATCAGTGGACTCTTTCTTCCCGTGGTCCCTAATATTGAACATGTACCATTCTGCCAGAACATTCACTTGGGGGTGAAATTGTGATTTCAAAGCTTTTAAAATATCTACTATGTGGTTTTTCTTTGCTCTTCCAATAGATTTTGAGCTGAATCTGTTTTGAAAGTCTCTTCGCAACAGTGATGAAAGTGTAGCCATTTGTATTTGTTCTAGTTTGCTGAAAAACCAGATAGCTATTGCACAATTCTGTCATTGTGCATGGAAAAATTCCCAATTCTGCTTCCTATCCCCAGTAGTTTGAACAGGAACTGAAATGGGGAAAGTTGCATCTACTTTCTCTTGAGCAGTGTTCTAACCATAGTTTGCTTTGTTGATTTGCATTTCTTTTCCTACAGTCAGCTTATGGCCCTGCAAGCATCTGTGTAGCTGTCTGTAGCTATGCTTTATTACAGGTCTGCAACAGTCATCTCAATGCCTTTTTTTTGGCATTATGTCACAAGTGTGCAACACAGCAGTTTGTTAATATAAGGACTTCATTGAAATTAAAGTTGTCTGCCTACAGTGTGTGTACCTCATGGTAGAAATCATATGACTACAGCAGACTAGGACAGATGTTTTTATATGATTGCCTTTCAATCCAAACACTGTCCATAGAGGTTGGCATTAGCACGAACTTTACCACATTGTCATGGCACATCTCAGACTCAATTATTATATTGTTCTGCACTGAAATACTGCATGTTGGAGCTCACCAACATCTTACATTGCAGTACTGCTACCAGGCTGTTTTACGTACACAGCAAGCATCCATCTTGTACATCATCACAGTGTGTATATCA